CAGAGGCACAACATACATATCACAATATTTTTCAGTGCACCTTGTCCTAATAGCAGCCTTAATGTATCATCGTAGAAACTTCCCCGTGGACCCAATATTTTGACTCTCGAGCCAGCATTGCCTTACGAGAAATCACCTTTTCTTCTTGGGGCTCTTTTGCTCTCAAAATTCTGATGATTGATCCTTCTTCGGCTTGGATTCAGTAGACATTGGTCGTAGATACAGATAGCAGAAAAAAGCAAAGTCAAAAGAACAGTATGGGCCAATGTTTAGGTGGGCTGTAAAGACAGCGGAAGCTGAGGCTCTTCCGTCAGCACTCCTCTCCCCTAGGGAGATTATCATGTCCCGGTGCAGGTCACGTCATTGCCTTCGTATCGATACTTCATTGCACCTAATTTGCCTTGTGCACGAAATGTTTAGGGAAAAAAAGGGCAATGCTAGCGTGCTCTATAATTTCATAGCGTAAACCGTAAGATATTTATCTTATAATATCTTAAATAATTTATGATATCTTGTCACATATATATAACACGATGGAAATGTTCGAGAAAATAGAATCTATGCACATTTGCAAGAGTTTCTGTGTCATAGTTTACAGAAAAAATGGCATGGTACAAACTGGCAAGATTCATATGTCCTGTCATGATGCTTCTGGTCTAATGTTTCAGCACATAAATACGTTTGCCTGCAAGTAAACCCCAGGAGGGTTTGAGGAGAGGAGGGGTATACTTATTTTTGTCCTCCCAATTCCGAGTTGAACTCTCATGCCAATTTACTATTCATAAACAGCTGCTGCCCCTTATCTTGTTAACCAGTTGAAATGATGTTCTATAGCTTGCATGCATGTTGGAACATATTAAATGATTGAAACTATGGTCATTTGAAACATTAATTATTGAACGAGAAAAGCTTTTAAGTCTGGTTTAAATTGTAGTACTTAATTGATACTTGGATTATCATCTTGAAGACAAGAGTTGGAGTGGATATATAGCAATATTTTTCTTACATTACTTAAGACTTCATAATGCTTGCCCCACTATTATACTGTTAATATATCCTATATGTAAATAACTTAGATATATCATGTTCGAGACTTTTCTTCGGTTCATTAAAACTTAACCTGGTTTACTACATGTCACAACTCTTTGATCCAGAAAGTTTCTACACATAAATTTATGGAATGGTGACAGGTAAGAAGAGTCCACAACTTTCTGCGAACATAGATACTTTCTGAGAGCGTAAGTCCACCAAGTTGGGGTTAGTATAATCCTATAAAGCAAACCGAGCAAGCAAAAATCTAGGCAATTAGGCAATGGTGGGAGCTGTATTTTTGTTACGTTTACTTACTACAAAATAATGCAGACAATGTGAGTTGATGCTGATATCAGAAGAAAAATCCAACCATGTGATGACAGATGTAACCTCACATCATAAATTTGGTATGTCTCTGACTCTGACCATTGCAAAGATACGACAAATAGGACCCCAACACACGTAAAACTTATTCTCACTGTTTGATCATCCTGCATTAATTTTTGACCAAATGATTTGATTCCTGTACCATAAGGTTACAAGGTGAATGAATACAAGGGTTATATATTAAATTCCTTCGGACAAGTCTCTATGTTGGCAATTGCTGTGATGCTTCCAGTTTTATTCTATTTTATTTTTGGAAAATGAAAGATACAAGATGAAATATAAAAATGTTCAAACTATCAAGTTTTTTTTACCATCTATTTGATTTGGTTTTCAAACCCTAGATAAATGAATTATTTAATTTCTTAAATTAAAACAGCACGTATTATATGTAGTAAAAATCATACATTCTACATTAACATCAATAAATCCAGAACTGTTTATAATTAATTAAAGCAGATAAATTTATCATTTGAGTCAATTCCTTGTTGATTACTATCCATTTTGAAGCCATGTAACAATGCTGGAGAACATTCAGTTCACTTTAAAGCTTGTTTGTGGAAGGTTTCAACAAATGTGTGAACATTGGCTTATCCATTTTCACCTCTTGTCAAGCCAACTGAAGATTTTAAGGACCCCATAAGTCGAGTGGCTGGTCAAAAGCATTTCTTTGTGTGGATAGCCAGATTCATTGATCTTGGAGCTGGAAGAAGAAATAATTGAAACTAATATACCTTGGCAATGACCAGACAATCCTTATCTTAGAAAGTTCTTTATGGAAATGTTAGGAGTTTGATGGGGACTGATCATGTGAGATAACCACACTACCAACCACCCGATGACCTGACTATTTTGTAGTTAAACTACCTAATATCAGGTTTAGAAAG